TTACAACCACCGGGCGATAGATTGCGTTGTGTACCACTATCATCAGCAGTGATGAAAAATAGGGCACTGTGGAATTACAATAAGTATGATGTGAGAGGAATATGGAAAGGGGTCATGGTTCCTGGGCTGACGTTCGGCAATACGGTCTTGTGTATGAGATCAGAAGTTCAAGCAAGATTAGAAATTAAGCTAACGTGGAATAGGTAGGCTTGCATTAGGAGCTCATGGGAATACACCAAATCGAGGAGTACAAGGTGATATGGGATGGACATCATTTGAGGGCAGGGAAACTAGCAGCAAGATAAAATTTGAGAAGCGATTGATAGAAATGGGGGAGGAGCGTTGGGCTAGGAAGGTTCTCGGCTACTATTACATGAAGAATGTCGATACAAAATGGTGGAAGCGAACCAGAAAATTGACTGGTAAATACTTGGAAAACAGCAGAGGGCCAAACCAAAAAGAATTATCGGTTAAAAAGGTGAAGGAAGCTGAGACCGATATGTGGAGAATTGGCATCATTAAGAAGTCCACACTAGAGATCTATCGAACTTTTAAGCAGGAAATTGCCAAGGAAAGGATCTATGATAATACTCGGGGTAGTTCTCTACTGTTTGAGGCCAAGACGGAAGTATTGCGAACCAAGACATATCAGGCCAAATACGAAGGGGTAGACACGGTATGCAGTGCGTGTGGAGAGGAAGAAGAAACTGCTGAACACTTGATAATGTTCTGTAAAGGGCTTCACCGTGTAGTTCAGGATGATGGCTCAGAGTTCTTCGAAGCATTGGGGTTTAGGAACAGGGATGGCAAAATAGACTTTAGGCGGGTAGAATTAACTAGAAGGAGGTTATCTGACTGGTGGCTAAAGTCAAGGCACGAGTGAAAATAAACTCTTCACTGCAAAGTACCAATCCTCAACTTCACTATTTAAAAGAAGAAAAAAAAAGATAAATCTAGTGGTTAGTTCACTAAGTATTGCGGCTAGGTATCGTTAGCCGCCACCCGATCTAAAGGGTACAGCCACATCCATCCATCATCATGGTTTTTACAGTGGTAGCGCCAGCAGTGACCACTTGGCAAAAGGCAAACCTTAGTGGCGGGCGAGATGTGAGCTAGTCTCTTCGGCGCGTGGCGGTTGCCGCGAACGGTTGTCTCTAGCGTGGGTCCTCGGCGCGTGGTACTGCTGCCTGTGCGTCGGGGGGCCTTCGTGGTAAGTCAAGCGTTAGCGACGACGCCTTGGGTGTGTTATTGTGTGTCATGAAGTGTATGGTAGTAATGTGTGGAGATGTCCTAGCGTGTTAACTGCAATTGATGTATAATAATTTGGCAGACGATATCATCGTTCAAAAGTAGTTAGCTAAATAAATGTGTGTATTGTTTGGTTTGTACCGACCGCGTCTTCTGTGTTCGTTCACTCCAAGAGCGTGGCGTGTTGCTCGCCATTTTGAGAGCCTACAACTTATCGGACAGACATGCGGTTTATATTCTAAGCTTGTTTGGGCTCTCTAGACATCATCTTCGCTATTGTATGTCTACACATTGCGGTCCTTGGATGTTTACAGTGTAGTGGAACCTGCTTTGGGCCGCACCACGACTATCACTCATACTATTGACACCGGCTCACATTCGCCTCTGCGACAGCGTCCTTACCGCGTTTCCGCCGAAGAGCGCCGCGCCATTACGGAGCAAGTAGATGACATGCTTAAACGTGGAGTGATACAGCCTTCTCAAAGCGCTTGGTCATCACCTGTGGTTCTGGTAAAGAAAAAAGATGGCACCGTTCGATTTTGCGTGGACTATCGCTGCTTAAACAAGATTACGAAGAAAGATGTCTACCCGCTACCACGAATAGACGATGCTCTTGACTGTTTACAAGGCGCCGAGTACTTTACATCCTTGGATCTGCGTTCTGGGTATTGGCAGGCGCCAATGGCTGAATGTGATCGCCCTGAAACAGCCTTTGTAACGCCAGATGGCCTATATGAGTTCAAAGTGATGCCATTTGGGCTCTGCAACGCACCTGCCACATTAGAGCGCATGATCGATACCATCTTGCATGCCCATAAGTGGAAAACTTGCTTGTGTTACCTGGACGACATCGTAGTCTTTTCGTCTGATTTCCCGACACATAATGTTCGCCTCAACGAGATTCTGACGTGTCTAACTTCTGCGGGCCTACAACTTAACTCCAAGAAGTGCCACTTCGCAGCATGAAAACTAACCATCTTGGGACATGTCATCACAAGAGACGGTGTTCTTCCGGATCCCGAAAAGCTTCGGGCTGTCACTGACTTCCCGTTGCCCACATCACTGAAAGCCCTAAGAAGTTTCATCGGTCTCTGCTCCTACTTTCGTCGCTCCGTGCGCAACTTCGCGTCCATCATCGCACCTCTCATGAGTCTGCTTTCCAACAGCAAAGGTATATCTGCATGGTCACCTGCATGTGACGACGCATTTCGCCAGCTGCGCCGCCTGCTGACCTCACCACCCATTCTTCGTCACTACGACCCCGCTGCTGCCACAGAAATTCACACCGATGCAAGTGGCATCGGTCTTGGTGCAGTTTTGGCACAACGGAAAGGCACCCAAGCCGAATACGTAGTCGCCTATGCAAGTCGCGCTCTCAAGAAGGCTGAATTGAATTACTCCGTGACAGAGAAGGAGTGTTTGGCCATAATCTGGGCCTTGACGAAGTTTCGCCCGTACTTTTACGGCCGCCCTTTTGACGTGGTCACAGACCACCACGCTCTATGTTGGCTGTCCACATTGAAAGACCCGTCCGGACGCCTGGGATGTTGGGCACTTCGATTGCAAGAATACGAAATCCGTGTAGTATATCGTTCCGGTTGCAAGCATGCGGATGCCGATGCACTTTCGGGATCGCCATTAACCCCAGATGTGGCTTCTCTGTCACCACTTTTTACCACCTTGTCACCAATAGACACCACTGACATGCTTTCGGAGCAGCGTAAAGATCCATACCTTGCATTGTTACTCGACTACCTTACCGATCCGTCTGCTGTCCCTTTCACGAGAGCGCTACGTTGACAAGCAGTCCACTTTTCCGTGCGAGACAGCATTCTGTACCGCCGCAACTACATGCCTGGTGGTCGGAAGTGGCTCCTTGCTGTCCTGGCTCATATGCGCTCTGACATCTGCATGAATTTTCATGCAGACCCTCAAAGTGCTCACGCAGGTGTCCTGAAAACCTACGAAAGGCTGTGCCAATGATATTACTGGCGAGGAATGTATCGCTTTGTGCAAATGTGCAGAAATACGTTCAGTCTTGCATCACTTGCCAACAGAACAAGACACCTCCGCGGCACCTTACTGGCATGTTAAGCCGCTCCCATGCCCGGCTCGCCCATTCGACCACGTGGGTATTGATCTCTATGGCCGGCCCCCTCCCATATAGTCGCTCTGGAAACCGGTGGATTATTGTTGGCGTCGATCATCTGACATGTTACGCTGAGGCTGCAGCTCTACCGGCAGCGACCGCCCACGAAGTTGCACTCTTCATTCTGTGCAGCTTCATTCTCCGCCATGGGGCTCCACGGGAATTACTCAGTGATAGGGGTCGAGTGTTCCTGTCGGAGGTCATCCAAGCTATTCTCGCTGAATGCAACATCATCCACCGGAAATCTACCGCATACCATCCACAGACGAATGGTCTCACTGAACGGTTCAACCGCACACTTGGCGACATGCTGAGGATGTACACCTCCTCCGACCACACTAACTGGGACGCTGTCTTGCCTTTTGTTACCTTCGCTTACAACACCGCGACGCAAGCGACTACCGGTTTTTCCCCGTTCTTTCTGTTGTACGGCCGCGAACCATCCCACCCACTCGACACCATACTCCCGTACCGCCCTGATGCATCAGAGTGCTCCCCGCTTTCGGAAGTCGCCAGATACGCTGAAGACTGCCGTCAGTTGGCTCGGTCTATGACAAGTGAGGCTCAAGGTCTACAAAAAACCCGACATGATGACGCTCATCACATAGCGCCTACGTTTCGTACTGGCTCTCTCGTGTGGCTTTAAGTGCCTCCGCACGTTCCTGGCCTGTCTTCTAAACTTTTGGCCCGGTACCATGGTCCATACCGTGTTATTGACGTAACCTCGCCGGTGAATGACATCATCGAGCCCCTAACACAATCGCCAGATTTGCGCCGTCGAGGACGCGAGACCGTACACGTCGACCGTCTCAAGCCCTACTACGACCCCCTCATTGTGCCTACTCCCTGAGTCGCCAGGATGGCTACTCTTCAACCCGGGGGGGGGGGAAGGGGGGGGGGGTATTGTAGTGGAGCATACGCACTAACGTGTATGTGCCTTCCAAAGAGAAGGAAAAACCCCGTGCTCTGATTGCACGAGAACCTGGGCCGCCTTTGCCAGACTTGTCGTACGGCCATTTTTCGTTGCGACATCGTTGCGACTTCTCCGTTTCAATAAACGTCATCACAACAGTAAACTCCCATTAATACACAGCTCCAAATACATGGCTAATGCAGTGATACATTAAAGACAATAGAGACGTAACAGCCATGAAATGTTTTGGTGCTTTTGCAGTTTGCTGGTGACTATAGTTGAGTGGACTTGGGCATTTACCATAGTTTTCAGATGGCCTCACGCAAAGCTTTGACGTGTGTTTGTGGCAGTCAGCGGCGCAGTCTCTTATCAATTTAATTGTGTGTTTCAGAAAGAGGCATAAGCGTTATCTGGATGGGAATAAATATTTTGTGTGCATATCGGGGTTTGAAGAGGCTTTTACAAGTTTTTTTTTTGTGATATGAAATTTCGGGTGATACGAATACTTTTGCTCCCCTTGAGAGTCAATATCGTCAAGATTCTACCGTACAGACCCTTGAACACTCTTCTGGAAAACTGCAAGCTTAGCTCATGCGACTTGTGTGATACATGTAACATGCACGAAAGAAGGGGAATGAGTAGCATGTGTCATTTTTATGAATGCATGCTATCTTTTCTGCCAACCTGCAGGGTCTACGTGAGCGCCGGGAGGCTGTGGTGAATGCATTTCGCCATGCTTGGAAAGGCTATAAGGCATATGCTTGGGGCCAGGACCATCTGCGACCTCTTTCACGCACAGGGCACACCTGGTTTGGCCTGGGTCTCACAATTATTGATGGCATGGACACCATGTACCTTATGGGCCTTCATGAAGGTGTGCCCCTGATTTTTTTATTGCTCAGGATAGCAGCCTTCCCTTCTCACATTTGCTTTTACTAATCATAGGCTTCTTGCACTGTCACCCTGAGTTACAGTTGACAAGTAGTGTAGCAGCTGCACCAATAGAACTTAGAATAGCCCTTTGCACTGTTTGGCTGCAGAGCTGTATTTTAGGGCAGAATTGTGCCAATTCTGCACTAAACAAGTATACAAGCTGCCTCACTTGTAGAACTAACCAAAACCTAAATGTGTATATCATTGTCATGAAGGTGATCCAAGAGGTCACTACAGTGCGTCCTCCATTTGTTTTTCATGTCATTTTGTTACGTTTCTCATGGGCTAAAGTAGCAGTGTCAAGCCACTTTGCAATCCTGTTTGCACCAGTTTTGTCAGTTCTGTATTCTTGGTGCTACTGTACGAGAAACTCCCTCAAAATTGTTGCTGAATCAGAAATCTGCTTCAGATACTGTATTTTCTTGTCTATAATCAACGTGGGGTACAGGTTATATGCAAAGCTTATAGAATTTTTTTTTTTAATGTTAAAGCTGGGGTTGCAGGTTGTATGCAAGAAAATACGGTAATCTTTAGTCACATGTAGTTGTGTATAGTTTATTGATATTGCCATTTTTGAGATACTTTGTAGTATGCATACTTTACTGCTACTAAAGGTGGGGTGGGACTTTAAGGTTCAAAGGGTGGCTGTACAACAGTGATAACAAAAGCTGTGGAAATTCGGAAAGTTCTATTTTGAAGGTAGGCACAGGTTGGGTTTGAGCTCAAAAATAGTTTCGAATCAGCTAGGTTTAGTATTTTTTTCTACATATGTATTTTTGATAAGGTCTGCTATCTGCAGAGCATTGCAATTTTGTGAAAAGGTAGCTACTAATGCATCACTGAAATGGAAAGAAAATTGTGAGCTTACAACGAAAATAATTTTTTTCTTTGTTAGAAAATTGACACTTATCAAATTTCTTTTTATACTAAAAAAAGTCGCAGTTTTGCCGCAAAGGGGAAGCAATGAATGCGTTGGCAACAATTTGAAAGGTCACGCGCAGAATGGAAAGCAGATGGAAACGTGCCGCCCATTTCTCATGCAGAAATTACACATGAAACGCACTCACAGGTACGGATGCACGCGAATAAGCATCTCATTTGTTACTTCGCTGAATCTGAAAAGCACACGCTTTTCGCGAACGGAGACTGCAATGATTGCAGCGACCTTTCCGTGCCCGGTAACTACAGCAGAATCGTTCCACGTAAAGCCCGAAGTTTGTTTACTTGAGTGCTAGCTTCGGTACCGTACGCTAAGCCTACAGTGGTGCTTAATGCTTGAAGTGGTCACACCACACCAAGCCGCACTTGCCCTAGGCCTACACGTACGAGGTGTGCCCAAACTCGCGACCAGGACCAGTGGCCATCGTGAGAGTGCGCAGCATAGCCGCGAGGGACCTTTTTTCGACAGGAGTGTCAAAGCTCTCCATTGCCAGCTGCGACATGCTTGCGGTTTCCCCCTTATGGTGAACGTCCGCGTCCTGGAGTCTTTGTACTCCGCGTGCCGGGAGCAGACGTTGCACTCTTGTTCGGGGTGCCGCCAAAAGCAATAGTATTTCTGCAATTCGAACACTGTCCGTTTTGCCGTGCCGTGCTAAACGCCTTGTTATTTGAGTTATTTGAACACTGTCTGCTTTGCCGCGCTAAACGCCTTGTTAGTTGAGTTATTCGAACACTGTCTGTTTTTCCGCACTAAACGCCTTGTTAGTCGAGTGCGCGCGGAGCGGTGCGCTACACACGGTTAGGTGACGAAGTCGCGGCCCTGTGGCTCGCTAAGCGTGTACTCACGGTGATCATCCGCTACGGAAAATAGCGAGGCTACCGATTCTTGTACCAGTTACTTTGTAAATGCCACCAATTAACACATGTGAAAATTTTTGTTTGCTTACGTGCTCCAGTTCTTGAGAAAAAAGAAAAGTGTACAAACCTCAACAATGTTGTTTTGAGAAAAATTCAGAAATGATGTCGGGGTATGCGTGCTTTTCTTGTTGCGCCTAAGATAAAGGACCACAAATTTTTTTTAAAACCGTGAGTGCCCAAGTGCAATATATTTTGTGAAATCTAAAAAATTCTTTATTTGGTGGATACAAAATCCCAAAATGGTGAATTTTTTTTCCAAAGGAAGTCTGGCCCCATTTTAACGGCTAATACGTAGTTTTGTCCTTGAGTACTTTTCTTGCAATCTGGCGTAATTGCGAGAGCTGTTTTGTAATTCATGAATCTAAAATGTGCCTGAACACTGTTTTGCTGGAGACTTTACATTATGAGACACCTCTTGACACATCATTGTACACTGCTTCTTCATGTCTTATTGGTTTGTTTGATTTCTCCTAAAGCTCAGCAAATGCCTGTTGCAAGTTGAAATTGTTGAAAAGCCTGTACACTACAGGCTTTTCATGTGCTCTGGGAAAGGCTTAAGCAGTACTAAAACAAAGCTAGTGCTTTTTATCTTGAGTGCTGCAATGATGCTCATGAAGCAGCCTCTGTTAAATTTGTTGACTACTGCATGATGCGCACATGTATGTCTGACACTGTATCATGAATGCTTGCTGCTGCACCTTACATCAGCTTTTTTTTGCCTTCACCAAAGTTGGCACCAAAAGGACAAATGGATGTTCCAGCAAGTACTGACTGGTAGTGATAGGTCACAGCTATCTTAAGGGCCCATGACTCATTAGAATCTGAAGTGAAGAGTTGCAAATGGGAGAATATATTTGAAAATTTCATTCCAAACATTCATGTGGGGAAGCTTTTTCTTATTCTGTGATGTTGGCAATCTGCGCAATTTTAAATATGGCTAGCAGGTAAGCATTGGTAATTTGTAATAGGAATTTTATGACAGCACTAAACATTTGTTAAAGGTACTGGGTACGAAGTTGTATTTTTACAACATTTGATCATTCCGTTTATTGTGCAGAACTTGCTGCTGCTCGAGAGTGGGTCGCACACAATCTTCAGCTAGCACAGCACAGAGATGTGAACCTATTTGAGACTACTATTCGTGTCCTGGGTGGACTGCTGAGTATGCACACCCTTACTGAGGAGCAGCTGTACCTTGACAAGGCGGTGAGGCATCTTGGTATCTAGAATTTACTGTGCCTGTAATTTGTGATTTTCATTTACATATACTTTTTCCACATTTTCTACCCTTTATGTTTTCTTTTTTTCTTCATTGTCTTCCTTTCTCGGTGCTCCATGTAAAGCCTGGTAAATATTCTGAAATAAATTACTGCTAGTTATAAGCTTTAGCATGCTTTCATGGTACTTAGTTATGGCAACTTTTTGTTTGTAAATAAACTAATGACTAATGTGAATTTAGCAATGTTACCCAGTTTATGCATCTTCATTACACCACCAATAAAAGGGTGAGGAGAAGGCAGTGTAATGCAGGAAGGCTGGGATAATACCTGTCCATTTCATCTCATTGCGGTATGGCTGTTATCAAAGTGATGGTGCCATTAAAGCAACCCTCATCTTCCCACATTTAATTTAGATGGAAAACTGGGCGAGTTGGTGCAGATCTATTGTGGCTAACAGTGCGAAACAACAAATTTATTAACAATAGTATGAAAAAAATGATCAAACGAAAAACATTGTAAACATGAACAAAGAATTTTCATAAAACCATCAACACTGCTCTGAACAGGCTAAGCATAAAAAGAAATGGAAACGTACACTTTTTAGCGAAGGAGCACACACAATTACCCTCTAAATAGAAACACTGTAAATACAAAAGTTTTTGTGCACATAACATAACATTACACGTATTGTCTTTCATGTCACCGTGCGAAGCAGTTTCGCGATGCGGTAAAGCACAGGTTTGCTAAGCATTTTCTACGAAAAACACTTGCTTTCTGTTCAACTTTTCTTTGTTCATAGCATAATTTACAGTTCCTGATATTTTTTTTATTTATTCATTTTTTTGGCTAATGTCGTTAGCCCTGAGGAGCATTTCGTGTAGGAGCATCAAGGTGGACTGTGGGACCTCCAAGAACCGTCTGTCTCGCTGCATGTCAGCTTCTGAAAAATATGCGTCCAAGTATATTTATTTGCGCTTTTGCTTAGCTCTCTAATAACTTGAACAGTAAAAAACGAAAAGTCGACAGCGCTCACCAAGTGCCGCGCGGCATTACGTAATGTGGTTCCAAGGATCACTCCCGGCTGCCTCCGCGCTGGGAACTGTACTCTCTGTGCTGCCGCCGGCAAGGAGTCCTGCCCGAAGGAAGCACACATCCTGCAGATCAGAGCACTAACCTTCAGAACACGTGTGATCAACTTGTACTGATGCGCCCCTGCAATTACTCAGCCCGAGCACAAAGCTAAACTCACCGGTGGTTGACCGCTGATGTTCCGGGGCGGTTTGACGAACTCTCGTCATCCACGCTGGCATCGAAAGTGTCGATGTTGTCTTCTGAGCCTCTTTTGTCATCGTCATTTGAATATTTCAGCCCAGATTCACGAAAATCCCCCGAAATTTGCCGTTTTCTTGATGCAGTCACACGCTACATCGTCGCCATGATTGAAACTATGCACACTCACTCACGCGCTAGAAAGGCTCTTCAAAATCACCGTACAGTGAAAAAAGGAAAACACGAAAGCGAAACTGATAAAATACTTTTTCTTTTACGTGTTAGATAGCTCAAAAGACCCTAAAGCGTTTGAAACAAGGCAAATTTTCAAGTTGTGAACATTGAAAACATACTATCGATGGGGATAGGTGCAGTCACAAAAGTGTTAAGGTAGTGGCCGACTAATACCCCTGTCACACGGCCACCACCGAACTCTGTTAAACTCCTTCACCGTAAAACTCCGCTAGGTAGTTCGACGGAGATGGAGTTGTATCAGTGTCACACGGCAATGCAAGGTTGCAATAGCTGCCGTGAGGGGGCTCAGCCGGCACTGTTAGAGTTTCACAGAAGTGTCCCAATTTCATCCCTGGGTGCTTTTTGTGAATCTTTGTTATGTGGTTTTTACGAAAACACAACATTAAGTACGTCTGAAGGCAACAAAGCATTAAAAATTATTTCAAATGGAAACGCATTTGCTAATTGTAGCGATGCTGGTAGCTACGCAGGCCACCTTGTGCTTAACGCTATGTTTGTTTACAATTGCACTGTGCTCGGCGACTAGTTGGTTTTGTAGCCCGTGTACCAAAGTTCTTGTTTCCTTACCTCCTGAGCACATTTCAAGTTGCCCATGAATTAGGTCTGGTCCCATTACCCATTCCTGCTGCCGTCGAAGCAGGTGACAATAATGCAGTGCTCTCAGTCATTCCTCTCCCGGGCCCAGGCAAACACGGCGGCGACAGGAACTGCACGCATGGACGATGCCCTTCACACCGTGCCAAAGAGACACATGAATGAGTACTGCAACAAAAGAATGTTTAATATTGCCAAAATGTATTTATTGTTGTCACTGCGGCAATTCAGTGCTCAAATTTTTTTTCTGACCTGCCGATACCGGGAACGAGAGTACCCAGTTCTGCTGCAAAGGGAGATTGTCGAACATCCTTTGCGAAATGCTCAGTTTACCTTCGTTTGCTTAAGGGTTGCCGTGTGACATGGACCGCATCTTTTGTCATAAGGACGAACGAGCTAAACGGTGTGCCCGTGTTATAGGGGTATAACACTGAGTGCTTGTGTTCTATGTAAACCAAGTGCTACCTATATGGTCATACAAACGAAGGGTCACATTGCAAAATGACTGTCAATACATTTTGTGTGCAGCCCATAGCCAACATGAAGCAATGCCTTTTGTACATATTAATGTGCTCGTTGCATGTGTTTATTACAAAACTGATGCAGTGTAATGGCAGAACGGCCTGTATAGAAACCTTTCCACACATCATGAGCCAGAAATAATGCACCCCATGTTCTCGTATATCCTGTTTAAGCTGCCAGTTTGATCTTTCGTCTCTTTACTTGCAGATTGCCTTACTTATTCTGGCACACTTGTTCCAACTCTACTTTCAAGCGTGAATTCCAAGCGTGAATTCCAGGGTTTCATACACTCTGTCAGCATTAGTCTCGCGGTGTAAAAATAAGTTAGGTGCTGAAACTCCCTGTTTGGCGCAAGGAGAGAGCATGGGCAGATTGTGTTCGCTGATGACCTTGAGCTACGAGTAGTTTCGTCGCGTGCGTTGAGATGGTACTACTTTATGAGGTGCCAGGTATTCACGTGGCTCTCATTCTGATATTTGCGGGCGAAAGAACATCTTCCTAAAAGCTTCGTGTGCAGGGAGTTTTGCGATTCAGAAACGCGTTGCCCTGTGCCTCTGAGCCTTGCCAGTGCATTTGTTTAGCTGATTCGGGCTTTGTGGTTTAGGGCACATATATCTCGACGCGGCATATGACTCCGAGTGCACGTCAGCGGCCTTGTCGCTGGCTCAAAATGGGCAAGTGGCGTTTTGTCTTGAATCGCAAGTCGGGCTATCGGACTTGTGCAGAGTGTGTGTCTCTTTTCAAAGCTCCGCGTGAACGAGAGTGCTTGGATAAGTAGCAACGAGCTATTGAGAGAGCTGACGAAGCCTTGCAGTCTACTGACCATATGTGCGCGAAGCGATTCCTGGAAGAAGAGATCTCTGCCACAGATCACACATAGTACAAGGGAAACGTTTGTTCCATGCACCAAAAAAAAAAAAAAAGTACACTAACTTCAGATGTAGTTCCTGCCATTTTACCAGGCTGCCCAAAATATCTGACTGTGCAGCAAAAAAACCAGGAAAGCTCTGCGAAAACGGGTGTGTCTACTGCCGGCTTCTCGGAAGCGATAACAGCCAAAAGGTTCAGGTGCATCTGAAGTGCCTGACACGATCGCTGACAGTACGTCAAATTTATTGCGCATGAAGACAGCAATTCCAAAACATGGTGATGATGAATCAACAGGCATGCATGCAAAAGGCAACGCTTTGACTTCAGCAGCGACAAGCTTCCTCCACATGAAGAGGAGGATGCTTGTCAACACAACACTGATAGTGTGGCCTATGCGCTACCGAGTCAGTTTCTCATCATACAGTCTTGTTTTCAGATGAAACTTTTTTGAGCTGCCTCATCTATGCCTATTTGGACCAAGAAAAAATAAATGTTGTAAAATAACCAGTGAACAGAAATCATTGTACAGTGAAATCTCGGTATAACGAACTTCAGGGGGCCGTGGCAATTTGTTCGTTATTATGAAAGGTCGTTACAGTAAAAACCTAAAAATAAACCATACATACTTATTTTTTACCAACCAAAATGACACCTTTACAATGGTGGGTCCTCGAACTCGTTTTTAACGAAAAAAAAAAAAAAAACTAATTCATAAGTGAACACCAGGAAATGCACGTGCTGCACAAACTTTGCATCGCAAAGGACCCCAGCTCATCCACATTCCTGTGGTGCGATTCGGTTCCTTTGTCACAACAGCCTGCTTTTTGCCTTCCAGTTGCCGAAAAATATCCACTTCCTCACTTGGCTAAAACCGATTCCGCTTCTTCGTCGCAAGCAGAGACGAACTCGTTCGTAGTAGCACCACAGCGCGAACGCAGACTTGCTTTGCGGACGCAATAAGTAATCACCGAAAAGAGAACAAGACTGACAAACAAGGCCTCCTTGTCCTAGAGCACATGTAGAAGTGACAAAAAAAGAAAAACCCGAAGTGTCGCGGCTGTCATCGCCTTTTCGCAAGAAAAAAAAGTGATAAAAAAAATCCTCTCATTTCGTTTTCTGCTGCCTCGCTGTCTCAGGTTTTCCGCGCCTATGATTCCTGCTCCGCGACTCCCACTCTGTCTCACTGACCTTGCCCTCCCGTGTTGCCCTCGCCTCTGTGCCTGCGTTTAAAAAAAAAAGTCTTTTTTTTTCCCTCTCAGCATTGGCGGGCATCTTCTGAGAAACCGATAGTTATAGCCCCAGAACAAAACAACAAAGAGACAAGGAGGGCATGAGTGCTCTTTGTTATGAGTGCTATAACTATCGTCATGTCATACCAACTAGCCTAAACTGCCACACCTCTGAGAAGCAAGGCGTCTGTTCGCTTTGTCGTCTGCTTTTGTACCGTTCCAGTGGTCTCGACGGATTTCAGAACAT